CCCTGAAGCATGATCGCCCCCCGAAGCCTCCCGCCTCCTCCCTGCCCCCTCCCTGCTTGCAGTACAGCGCCCCCCCCAGAGTCCCCCAGACTCCCTCTCTGAAGCGCGGTGCCTCCCACTACACCCCCCCAGTCCCCTCCTTGCAGCAAAGCACCCTCCACTGAGCCCCCTGCCCCCTCCCTGCACCACGGCACCCCCCAGAGCCCCCTGGCCCCCCTGCACCATGGCACCCCCCACTGAGCACCCTGCACCACTGCACCCCCCCAGCCTCCTGCCTCCCTCCCTGCACCACGGCACCCTCCAGAGCCCCACGCCCCCTCCCTGCAGCCCAGGCCCCCTAGCGCTGCCCTAGGGCCCAGTGGCACCGACCTGCAGCAGGAACCCCACGGCCGAGGTGACCTGGGCGGCTGGTCTCTCCACGCGCCGGCCCCGGCTGTCAGACCCTCGCAGGATCAATGCAAAGTCCCCCCGGGGCAGGGCCGGGGGCAGCGCCGTGGCGTAAAGCCCTGTCCCATTGGCCACTTCCCGGAGCGGCAGCTCCCCCCCAAGCCGCCGGCCCATGACGGGGTCCACCAGCTCCACCGCCTCCATCCGGACCGAGTCCCCGCCCGGCCGGGTCAGCCCCGTCACGGCCAGGACCAGCGACAGCGGCAGCCCTGTCGGGTCAGAACCAGAACTGAGTCCAAGCCCCCGTCAAGACAATCCCCAACCTCGGCAGAGCCCAAAGCCCTCGGGCTCGGATGCGGCCGCTTCTGGGGCGGGGCAGCTGGGGGAACAGCCACACATAACGGCACATGGGGACGGCTCGCCTGGTGCTGAGATGCAGCCACCTCTGGGGCAGGGCAGCTGGGGAACAGCCACACATAACGGCACATGGGGACGGCTTGCCTGGTGCTGAGATGCAGCCACCTCTGGGGCGGGGCAGCTGGGGGAACAGCCCCACAACAACTTGGGAGAGGAAGTGACGGGAGATTCACAGCTGAGTGAAACCAGAGTGACCCCAGGCTGGAATCTGGCCAGCGCTCTGGGGTTCCCCACAGCCCAGCCCCCTAGCGCCGCCCTGGGGCAATGGGGCCAGCCCTGACAGGGAGGGGAGAGCCCCTTGCTTAGCCCCCTGCCCCACTCTCACCTCTCACGGGGCGACTGTCCAGCTTGAAGAGTCCTGGGTGGGGCCCCTCGGCCGGGACAGCGAAGTAATACAGGAAATCCAGCGAGCTGCTGCCTGGTAACAGAGCGGGGGGACCCCATTAGGGGAGAGGTCCCGGGCCCCATTCCCGGCCCCACCCCAGCCAGCCAGTCCCCGGCCTGGGGCCGGATGGGAGCCAGCGCCCCCTAGAGGGGACAGGCCCCTGCTGGCGGACGAGGTGTTCGCGGCGTATTACGGCCCCGGGGCGTCGGCCCGGCGGTTCCGCGCGGCGCTGGTGGAGGTGGCCAACGCCAACGCGGCCCTGGACTTCCTGCCGGCGGCGCGGGACGACCCGGT